GAGGAGATCCTGGAAAGAACCCATTGGATCGTGCTGCAAGAGACCACGATATTGCATACGCCTTATACAAAAATTTGAAAGACAGACACAAAGCTGATTGGATTCTTGAGAACCGAGCCTGGGAACGTGTAAAAGCACCTGACGCTTCACTAGGAGAAAAGACTGCAGCTTGGCTAACAACCACCGCAATGAAAGTTAAGCGAAAATTGGGTATGGGGCAGAAGAAATCATCTTTTCGACGAGGTGTTCTCACGAAAATCACAAAGTCCTTGAAGAAAAATGCTCCCACCACCACGACATTAAAAAAGTCTGCATTGGTTGCTCTTAAAGCGGCAAGATTAGCGGTGAAGAGTGCAGGTGGAAAACATAAAGTTCGACTACCGAGAATAATTCCGATCGAAGGCAAATCTGGGGGATTCCTACCCTTGATCCCCCTTTTCGCCGGATTAAGTGCTTTGGGGGCGCTCGCAGGGGGAGCTGCAGGTGTGGCCAAAACGGTCGTTGATGCCAAGAATGCACAAAAGAAATTGGAGGAAGACCATCGCCATAACAAAGCTATGGAGTCTTTGGGCAAAGGATTGTATTTGAGAAAAAATGCTAAAGGTGGTTATGGGTTGTACCTCAAAAAAAAAAGTCAAAAAAACTAAACATCAAGCTACCCAAGAAAGCGCTTTATGATTATGAAATAAAGCAATATGCGAAGCTCTTGAACATACCTCATTTCCGAGGTGTCTTCATGCGTGACACTTTACCACGAGACGGTCCACGTAAAAGAGAATGCGCCGTCGTGAACTTAGATATTTCACAAAACAACGGAACTCATTGGGTAGCTTATAAAAAGATAAACAACAACGTTGAGTATTTCGATTCATTTGGTAACCTGAAGCCTCCACAGGAACTTGTTCGATATCTGAAAAACGCTAAAATTTTCTACAACAACGATCCTTACCAAACTTATAATCAAGTTAATTGCGGACAATTGTGTTTGAAATTTCTATACAATAACAATAACAACAACAACGATGGATAATAAAACATTATCGGAATTTACATTAGAAGAGTTTGAGAAGAATATTCCGCCGCTGGAATATTTAATAAGCAATGTGAGACCTGCAGAATTGTTGAGTATATGGCACAAACTGCCTGCAGAATACACATCCAATTTTGATCTTCAAATACGACTTCCATGCTATGTTCACTACAACAGACCTGATTGGACAACACATTGGGATGGACCGGCTACTGCTCAAGCAAATTGTTATTTCTGTAAATTATCCATTCGAAAATAAACAAAAAAAAAACTTGAATAAATGCTTAGTACACAGCTATATTTTTTCATTCATCATGTCGCAGTTGTTGAGAGTCAATAGCACTACTCATATATTTTCATTTCGTCCTTCAACACCGATAGTGTTGGATCCGAAAAAAGATTATGAATTGGCGCTTAGGTCTTTTACTTCATACAATTCCATACCGAATATTGAAAAAGGAGATAAATTTTATTATATCGACAGGATAGGTGGTCAATTAAAAGTCATCGAGTTTCCGACAGGTTGTTATGAAATTACCGACATAGAAACATTTATACGAACGCAAATGAATCTTGAAAATGAAGTTGCTCCTCCGGATGATTATTTTTCTCTAAAACCTAACAATAATACACTGCAATGTGAAATCTTTAGCAAGTATTATAAAATAGTTTTTACAGAACCGAATAATCTTGGTCATCTATTGGGATTCTCGAAAAAAGTTCTTAATCCTGGTCAAAAGCATTCTTCTGATTTACCTGTAAACATAATAAAAGTATCAACCATACACTTTGATGCTAACATTACGTCGGGAGCCTTTGACGGAGACACGCCTGCACACACGATCTACGAATTTGCTGTGACAGCCGATCCTGGATACGCTATAGTCGAAACACCTGTAAATTTACTATATCTACCTGTTATACCGAAACAAGAAATAACCAACATCACAGTGTTGGCTTTAGATCAAGACGGTCGTCCTGTAAACTTTCAAGGTGAAACTAGTACTCTTGTGTTGGAGTTGAGAGCGAAGCGCAGATGGGATTAGTGATTATAAGACATAGTGGTGCTTCCAAGGCAACTTCAGTATTACCCCAAGCACCTAAGCGACGACATCTACTACTAACTACATCAAATATCCTGTTTCTACGCTCACTTGGATATCATGTCAACAACAACAAGAATCATGTACAAAAAGAGAAAAACTGAGGAGGCAGCAGCAGCAGCATCACATACTTCTCCGATGTTTGATCTATATCGATCTCCAGCATTCGATGAATCTATTCGCAAGGCTGAGTATAGATCTTATACGCCGTTCATCAAGTCATTTAATTGTAATGATGTTGTGGAATTTAGCATCAATCAAGTAGATTCGTTCTTTGCAATGAACGCTTCCCTTCTATCTATCAAAGGAAAAGTTGAAATAACTGGAGGAGGAGCAGGAGATGTATCTTTAGCTCCAAACTTTGGTGCCTTCCTATTTGACTCTTGCACTTACAGTGAATCCGCTAGAGAAGTTGAAACAGTACGTGATCCTGGTATTGTAAGTACTGTCCGAGCTTACGTATGTTACAGTGAGGAAGACTCAAATCATATGGCTATAGCTGGATGGAACTATCCTTCAACACCTATAATGGCGTCAACACATAACAAGTCTTTTAGCTTGCTAATGCCGCTTAAACATATTTTCAACATTTTCAATGATTATCCTATGATTACGTGTGGCAGACAAACTCTCAGATTTGTGAGAGCTAGAAACGATAACGATTGTATCATTATCAAGGAAAAAACTGGAACGACGACGACGGCGACGACAGCGAAAATAACTATTGAAAGCATGGAACTGAAAATCAAACATATTTACCCGAGTGATGATGTGAAAGAACAACTTTTGAAAGCTATTCAAACTGATAAGCCGATACTTATACCGTTTAGAAAATGGGATCTGAATGAACTGCCTGCAATTACCGCAGATGCGAGAAGAGAAATATGGTCAGTTAAAACTAGCACCGCAATCGAAAGACCACGTTTCATTATAGTATGTTTCCAAACCGGTAAACGTGACGTCGCAACCTCAGACCCTACCCTGTTTGATCACGTGAATGCTGCTAGTATTCGAGTATCTTTAAATGGTGAATACTATCCCAACGAACGTATGCAATTGGACTTTGCAAACAATCACTTTACTGAAGCTCATTTCAACTATAGCGACTTTCAAACCAGCTATACAACTTCTTCTTCTCCTCTGAAGAGATGTCTTTTAGATTATACCGCTTTTAAAAATCGCGCTTTGTTTGTTATTGACTGTTCCAAACAAGAGGAAACCATGAAATCATCAACTGTTGATGTTAGATTGGATATCGAAGCCGATACTGGCTTTCCAACCAACACCAAGGCCTACTGCATCATTATACATGACTGCTTAATCGAGTACTTCCCCCTCACCGAAGTTATTAAAACCATCTCGTAAGCAACGAAGGACTCTCAGTTCCGCATCAGACATCATGAGGATCGCGTTTGTTGACATTCAAGGCTTTACAGTTGACGGATTATTCGTACCTAAAGAACTATGTATCGAAATTGGTTTCAAGAAAAGTCATTACATCTTTACACCTCCGCAACCTTTTTCTACATTAAATACTAAAGACAAGAAAACTGTCGCTTACTTGGAGAAGAATTTCCATGGGCTTAAATATTCTTCCGGCGACGTTAAATATTCCAAGTTAAATGAAATAATTAAAAATAAGGTGATATATGCGGCTGACTATGTCTACGTTCGTGGAGAACAGAAAGCAAACTTTTTACTCAAGAAATGTCACATTTTTGGTGTTTTTCCCAACATTATTGATGTTTGCAAGTATGATGGTACACCGTGTGCTACTGGAAACTTTGTTGCTGATTCCAATCCATGCCACACCAACGGACAATTTTCCTGTACCCAGAGAAATGTTGAACGTCTACGCCACTGGTTTTCAAATATCATATTACCTATGTAGTTTTTTTCTATTTTCAATAAAATATTAAACGTATTATTGTAGTTTTATTGAAAATACCTCTGGTTTGCGAAATAATTGTCAGAATGTCTATACTATTTTCATTTTGAACGGTATCATCCTGTATAATAATAACAGTACATCGTATACAGGTTATGAGACATTCTGACCGACCGACCGACCGACCAGAGGAGCCCACCACGCTATTTAGGTCACGCCTTGCTATATACGATTTAACGATATACCGTCGGTCCATCGATCCGCTATTTTTCGATGCACCCCTGTATACACGTTGCCCCCCGTAATCCACGCCAACACCAGACAGGTGCGACATCGGCGCCATCTATGCGCGAGATGCCCAACCCATCAATGGCAGCTGTCCAATGACACATAGATTCCGTTTGGTTTGTACAGCGCCAAACAAATCGGCGCCATCTATGCGCGAGATGCCCAACCCCTCAATGACAGGTGTCCAATGACACATAGATTCCGTTAGGTTTGTACACCGCCAAACAAATCGGCGCCATCTATGCGCGAGATGCCCAACCCATCAATGACAGGTGTCCAATGACGTATGACAGATGACGTTTTAACGCCATCTATGCGTGAGATGCCCAATGACGCATGACAGGTGTCCAATGACACACAGATTCCGTTTGGTTTGACAGCGCCATCTAGCGGCGGAATCCCCAACTCATGATTACAGATTCCGTCCAACAACCTGTCAATGGCGCGCGACGTCAGCGCCTCTGGTGGCGGATTTTGGAAGTTTTGAGACCGAATCCCCATAAGACATCTACTAATTAGTAGTGATGGCCGGAAGAATTTCAAGTAGTTGCGTGAAATTATCGTCATATTACCAAGTACCGAAACCTGCATTTTTCTTCGTTTTTCGGCCATAATATTTTTGCCATTAGTCGGATCTTTTTACATTCTTGTACTCCTCTTTCGGTAATTTTTTCCTCCGAACGATAACCAACTATTTTAATTTTTGGCTTGAACATTCTTGGTTCAGATATCTTGTAGGATGTAGGCATATTTTTTCGATTTCTTGTTTAAGTTGGGTATGAACACAATCTTGAACGTTTATTTCTACAGCTCCATTTCTGCAGTTTTTGACCTTGTCGATACCTATCTGTTTCGAGAGGTCTAAGTTTTTGTTGAGATCAAGTCTGGTCTTGTAGTTTGGTTGGTGTTGATCAGGTGTAATGATTATGCTTTTCAAAGATCTGGTCTCCTTGTTTGGTGATGCTTTACTTGCAGTTATCTGAGAATATGAGACATTCTTAGTTGCGGTTGATTTTTCAAATACTTCAATTCGTGTATTTAGTCTTTCCAGTGTGCTGATAATAGTGTCCTTTTCTACGACCTTGGTGGCTAATAGATCGTAGTGCTCTTGGAACCTACGATTTTCATTGGACAATTGACGAACTAGCCTATCTTTTTCAGCTAGTAATTCACTCAGTAGTTCAATTTTCTCTTTAAGTGACTTAATTTCTTGTTTAAGTGCTGCTTCCGTATTTTTGTCATTATTTATTATCGTCCGAATTTCTTGATTTTGTGCTGTTCCGTCTTCTTCATTTTTCTTTTTCTTCTTGCTCATTTTCGACTTTCAGTCTAGAGTAACACACAGTACAGCACTTTTACCTCACTTCTGACTGCTCAGAGTTTAAACTCTCGTGAATTTGATTGTCAAAAATTGTATGTTAGATTCTGAAGATCAAAATGGCCGAAACTGATATGTAAGCGAGCAGATACCTCACCAATATTCCCAGGGGTATATTGCTTCCTCCTGATGTACACTTTCTCAACAGATCAATTTTAAATGTCGTAGGACTGGTGATAATTATCAAAATACGGTAGGCTTTACAAATAAGTTTGTAGCAATTATACCATAAAACGATGGATTTTTTTTATATTTCTCTGATAACTATTATTACAGCCTATCCCCCGTTTCCGGCTTGACGACGACTTCTGGGACATCCTGTATAATCCAAATTACGGCCATTCTACGTACATATTAAACATACTTCACACATAGATTTCCCCGTATATTTGCTGTTAAGACTTATAAGTAGCATGATTTTTGATACCCGCGTTGATAATGGGTACAGTATCGGGCTTACTCATCGCTATTCCGATAGCAACGTTGCCTTTGCTTGTCAAATGGGCGGTAACTGGCGACGAGTTTGATTATTTCCAACAATTAATTTCTGATAATCCCAAACAGTCATTTACAGTGAGCCAGATCTAGGCAACACAATTTGTTTGGATAAGTGTATTTGACAGTCTGTGACACTCAGAAATTTCTTGTTGGAAGTAACTGACTGTATAGGCCTATTTGACTGACTTGATCTATTTAATTCATTTGTTATACATGTTCGCAGTTGATTTTTTTGTGAAAGGGGATAACTTATGCTGAACATGCAGTGTTAACTTCTTTGATGCCATTTTATCTGTTTACACCTAAGATTTTCAAGCCAAAGTGACATATTAATATTAGATCCAAGAGGATTCAGCTACTGAACTAGCTAAGGAATATAACAACATGCCTCAGGAGTATGTGGGTCTGCCGTTCAAGAAGACAATTAAATCTTATATTTTTTAAAAACAGTAATAATGGAATTTTATGATTAATAGATTTAATTTTCATCCCATAGTTGATTCAGTGAAGCATTCAACTCATACGTTCTATTTTTATTATTTTATTTGTACCATTTTTTTCCTTTTGTATCTTTGTAATGTTGAGTGGAGAGAACTCCGAATCTAGGTTAACCCGTATGCGGTTATTAGTTTTCTATGGTTACTGTACTATTCCTTATTAAAAACGCCGCCTTCTTTAAGACTTATGTAAGTTAACAAAGCAACAATTGAGCGATTACCATTGGGTAACATTACCTTTATCTTTTATTACGGTTGCTTAAACTTCTTTGGGGCCTAGTGTTAACCAAGTTTTGGCAAAATTTGGTGTTAAACACAATCCCATATTTCTTAGCTTTTGTATCAGTTCGGTGATTGTCGAGCAGGATGTTGTCGTAGAACCTTTTCATCTCGTGCCACAAAGTTTCATAGGTGACAGATCTGGACTGCTAGAAACCCATTTCAAAAGTGGTACATTATTTTCTTCCATCCATTTTGTCGCCTCTTTTGAG